ACTGGAAGAATTAATATTGTTAAAATGTCCATACTACCCAAAGCAATCTACAGATTCAATGCAATCCCTGTTAAAATATCAATGGTATTTTTCACAGAATTAGAACAAATAATCCTAAAATTTGTATGGAACCACAAAAGACCCCAAATAGCCAAAGAAATCTTAAGAAGAACAAAGCTGGAGGTATCATACCCTTGATTTCAAACTATACTACAAAGCTATAGTAATCAAAACAGTATTGTACTGGCATGAAAACAGACACATAGATCAATGGAACAGAAATAAACCCACACCTATATGATCAATTAATCTATGACAAAGGAGGCAAGAATATACAATGGGGAAAAGTCTCTTCAGTAATGGTGTTGGGGAAACTGGACAGATACACACAAAAGAATGAACCTGGACCACTTTCTTACACCATATACAAAAATAAACTCAAAATGGATTAAAGACATAAATGTAAGACCTGAAACCATAAAGCTCCTAGAAGAAAACATAGGCAATAAACTCTTTGACATCAGCCTTAGCAATATTTTTTTGGATATGTCTCCTCAGACAAGGGCAACAAAAGCAAAAATAAACAAATGGGACTACATCAAACTAAACAGCTTTTCTACAGAGAAGAAAACCATCAACAAAACAGAAAGGCAACCTACTGAATGGGAGAATATATCTGCAAATGATATATCTGATAAGGGGTTAATATCCAAAATGTATAAAGAACTCATAAAACTCAGTATCGAAAAAGCAAAAAATCTGATTAAAAAATAGGCAGAGGACCTGAATAGACATTTTTCCAAAGAAGACATACAGATGGCCAACAGGTACATGAAAAGGTGCTCAGCATCACTAATCATCAGGGAAAGGCAAATCAAAACCACAGTGATATATCACTTCACACCTGTCAGAATGGCTATTATCAAAAAGAAAACAAATAACAAGTGTTGGCAAGGATGTGAAAGAAAGGGAACCCTCGTGCACTGTTGGTGGAAATGTAAATTGGTGCAACCACAATGGAAACCAGTATGGAGGTTCCATGAAAAATTAAAAATAGAACTACCAAATGATCCACCAATACCACTTTTGGGTATTTATCTGACGAAAACAAAAACATTAATTTGAAAAGATATATGCACCCCTATGTTCAATGCAGCATTATTTACGATAGCCAAGATATAGAAACAACCTAAGTGTCCATTGGTAGATGAATGGATAAAGAAGATGTGATACATATATATATTTATATTATATATTTATATATTATTTATTATATATATAGACACACACAATGAAATATTACTGTCATTAATAAAATGAAATCCTGCCATTTGCAACAACAGGAATGGATCTAGAGGGTATTATGCTAAGTAAAATAGGCCAGATGGAGAAAGAATAATACCGTATGATTTCATTTATACGTAGAAGCTGAAAAAGCAAAACAAATGAACAAACAAAACAGAAACAGACACACAGATATAAAGAACAAACTGCTTGGTTGCTGGGGGGGGAGGGGCCGGGTGGGGGCAAAATAGGTGAAGGGGATTAAGAGGTACAAACTTCCTGTCATAAAATAAATAAGTCATGGGGATGTAATGTACAGCATAGGGAATATAGTCAACAATACTGTAATAACTTTGTATGGTGAGAGATGATTATTAGTCTTATCAGGGTGATCATTATGTAATGTATATAAATGTTGAATCACTATGTTATACACCTGAAATACAATATTGTATGTCAACTATACTTCAATAAAAAAATAATAAAGTTAGAACTAAAAAAAAAATTACACAGGGTTTGTAGGCAATATCACTAAGTGTGGACCTCATCCCAAGAGCAATGAGGAACCATTAAAGGGTTTAAGCAATGGTGTGGCCTGATGCATTTTCCAATTTTGAAAACTCATTCAGGCTACAGTGCACAGAATAGCTAGATAGTGGGCAAACTAGAGACAGGGAAACAGTTAAGAGCTAGTTTTGAGATGATGGAGGCCTGAATCAGAAGGCAGTACAACAGTATTTAAGAGCAAGACTTCTAAAGTCATTTGCCTGCATTCAAATCCCAGATTTTCCACTTACCAAGTTGCTTATTCTCTCTATACCTCAGTTTTCTCTTCTGTAATCCAGAGATAAAAATCCTCACAGGGTTGTTGCCAAAGAACAAATAAAATAATACACATACAATAATTAGCATGTTGCCTGACACGGAGTAAGAATGCAAATGTTTATCATTATTAATGTAATGTCAATGGGATGGAGAACTGAGCATGTAACTGGCAGATGTTTAGGAGACAGAAAGTGACAGTTAAGATGCAGGAAAAGGGAGAAAGGGATGAGTGGACAGACTAGTTTCTGGCTTGAATAGTGGTGCTATTTGAGGAGATGAGAAACACAGAAGGTTGGAAAGTTTTAAAGGTTTGAAGGAGAAAATAGTGTTCGTTTTTTAATATATTGATTGTGAGATACATTCCAGCAGGCAGGTGAATATATGGCTCTGAAGTAAAGGAAACAGATCAAGGCTGAAGATTTGAGAATCAGAGAGACAGATGGTGACTAAATCCATGGGGGTTGATGAGAGCCTGCAGAGAGAGAATATGTAGAGTGAAGAAATGCTGGCACTAGGCGGAAGCCATGGAACACCAACATTTAAAGGATGGGCAGGGGAAGAGAAGCCTGCAAAGGACACAGAGAAAGGGTGCAGAGAAGTAAGAGAACAACAGTGTGAGAACTTCAAAGCCCAAAGAAAATGTGTTTCAAACAAAAGGGAGTGCTCAACAATGTCAATACTGCCAAGCAGTGAAGCAAGTACTGAGAGTTTTCATTGGATTTAGCAACAAAGTTATTCATTCACATAATAAACGTGTCAAGCATTGTGCTAGGCACTGGAAATACAGAGGTAAATAAGACAAATAAGAGCCTTGCACACACAGACTTTAGGTTGTAAAGATAGACAGTAAACTAGTAAACAAATAAAATACTTACAAATTGTGATAAGGACCCTTACTAGAGATAAAGTGACACGATAGAGAGTAAAAGGCAGAGGCCCCTTTAGATAGGGAGTTTGGGAGGGCATCTCTCTGGGGAGGGAACTTTAAGATGAGACCTAAGGCAAGAATGGGCAAAGCGTGGTCGGGCAAAGCACAGTCGGAGGATTGAAACAGGCCCTCGAGGATACAGCATAACGGTGGAGGAGGGATGGAGAGAGCCAGACTGTGTTTGTAGATCATGAGGAAGGCACAGTGAAAAAAGTTTCAATGACCTGCTAAGCATTAGTAAGTCAGGAAGTTAAGATCACTCTAGCTAACAGCACTTAGTAGCTTGCTTTTCCTCATTTATACTAGTCTTAATAATCAGAAACAGGACATTTTACCATTCTTTCAACCATTAACTGATTATTACAATAATATCAGAATAAACTTTTCTGTTTTAAAGGGTACTATATGATTACAGCATGTTACCCGTTGCATTAATTTTGCTAATCCCCCTTTTTAACCTTCTTCCATATTTCTTTCAAAGATATTTCTCATAATATCTCCTTGATTTGATTAAATTATATTTCTCTGAGGTACGCCTCATTTTCAAGCAATGTACATCAGTATTTGAATATTTTATAACAAGAAAACTCAGCAAGGTGTTACTAAAATGTTTATGGGCCAATAATGCACAAAAACCTGATAGAATTCATCAAAAAAATTATATTCCATAGTTTCAGGTTCCTATTTCCTTAATCTATGTATTTATATACATGTATATGATAGAGAAAAGTTGAGGCAGAAACGTTTGGCTTGATTCTGAGCAGATTAATCATATGTTCATATTATTTTTTTCATCTCCTTATCTGCAAGAAGAAGAATTTATGGCCCTTTCATAAGGATATCAATAATATAAAATGCTACCATTTATTTAATATCTATTATCAGGCAGTGAGCTAGGCACATTACATAAATTATTTTTAATCATCCTCAAACCCCCAAAAAGTAGGTATTATTCTTCCCATCTTACAGATGAAAAAACAGTCTCAGAGAGGCCCAGTGACTTGCCCAAGACTGCAGAGCTGGTATTTAAGCACAGTTCTGTAATCTCAAAAACTGGTCAAGGGGCCAGCCTGGTGGCATAGTAGTTAAGTTTGCATACTCCACTTCGGCGGCCCGGGGTTCATAGGTTTGGATCCCGGGTGCGGACCTATGCACCACTCATCAAGCCACGCTGTGGCGGTGTCCCATGTACAAAATAGAGGGAGATGGGCACAGATGTTAGCTCAGGGCCAATCTTCCTCAGCAAAAAGAGGAAGATTGGCAACAGATGTTAGCTCATGGCCAATCTTCCTCACACACACACACACAAAAACCAACTCTCATCAATATACCAAGATGCCTCAGACTATTAACAGGTTGAGTTCTTTAAAAATACCTATCACATATAAGATTGTAAATCATAAAGATGAATTTTTAAATGATAACAAATGTTATTTTATTAAATTTTTAATAAATTGTGTACAAGTTAGAAGTATTTGCCATATACACAATTCCTATATATTCCTCCTTTTGGCATAATGACTTGATTTCAATTTTTTATTAATAATGGAGAAGAGGGATAAAAGAAAGATAGAAAAATAACCACATTGTATTTAAGGTTCAAGAACTGCCATTCTGGGTCAAAAATTTTTCCCAGTTAATCCTTAATACACATATTAAATCCAATGAACTACCAGTAACTGCCTATTCTCATAAAACTTGTCTCTCAAAATTAAAAATTACAAATGGTCTAAGGTTTTCCTGAATCAGAAAAACCTAATTTCCAATTAGAACCTCTAAATGTCACTATTTTTCTGAATTTGAAAGGCAATAAGCCTGAATAAAAGCATCATAATTTGTTCTCAGCAAAATCTATAGGTCTATTATATTGTGAGCTCTTCCTACTAAGACTTTTCAGGTAGCCAAGTCATCCACCAAGATACTATCTGAAGAAGTCTAGATATTTAAGAAAAAGAAACTGCTGCCAGATCACCTTTATTTTCCTTAACAAAATACACACAAGAGCACAAATTCACTTATAATATCATCAATATTTTACAAGTATAAATAATGCTCAGAATTCAAGTACAGTCAAGTGCAGAGATATTTCCTATATGTTAATATGTAAACATAAGCTAATTATATACATCATACACCTTTGGCCTAGCTGCAAAATAAGAGACATCAAAAAGAAACACTGCACCTGACTGTTCAATTGCATTCTTACTGAGAATTCCTACCAATACCTATATAGTTACAGGTACAATTTTCATACTGCTTAATGTAAATGCCTAAATAGACATTTTTCCCCCTGGCAAATATCTCAAGAGTTAAAATTCTATCCATTTTTAATGATGAAGTATTAAAAATCTTAATTGAGTTTGAGTCCTTAAAACAAACACTATTATAACTTATTCCTAACCAAAGTTCTTCCTATGTCAAAATGGATATTATTTACAGGTCACACATATAGAAAACAAGAATGCTATCATGTCTGTTTACTTGTAGAATGGAAAAAAAAATATCTAAAAGCTGTCTAAATAGTGTGGGTCTTTGCACACTCAAAAGGTCCTTTACTAATATCGCTTGCTTTTAATTTTAATACCCAGTAGATATAACTTTGACATATTGAAATAGCCAGGCAATCTGAATTCAAATGATATCAAGCATATCCTCAAAGCGGGGGGAATACCACCTAAAAAGCAAAAACTGACATCAAAAAAGACTACAAATATCCAGTTGAAGGCACGTGGAAGCATTTACTACACTGTCATCAAAGATTCTCCACTTAGTTCAGAATCAGGAATAGAATCAGCTCTGGGAACTGTTGATTTGGCTTCTTTCACCAAGGTTTCCTCATTCTCAGTCTCTTCTTGCTTCTCCTCTGGTTCCTCTGTGCCAGATGCTTTTTCAATCACTTGGTTTGTCTGCTCTGTATCTGATATTTTGTCATCTTTCTGCTCTGTACTGTTATCAAGAACATCTTGTTCTTCTAAAGATTCTGAAAAGATGAACAGTCAAGACTTTAGGAATACCCAAATGTTAAAACTGCTAAATAAGGTAAGCAAAAGATAAGCACACACATACATGGACTAAGAAACAGTAGAATGGTCTAACAATATCTTTAAAATCTTTTAAAATATGTACTTACCTCCCTACAGCATATCATATATGAGTTGGTATGAATGAAGGAAAAAAAAACAATTTGGGGGAAACAAACCCATAAACACAGTTTTATCTAAAACCCCATATTCTCATAAAATTTAGGAACTTTCATAATATTTAGGAACTTCCTTAAAGATGCATTTGAAAGTTGAATGTCCAAATACATCAAAGTCCCAACAGAACTGGGTGTTAGAAGACAACAGCCCAGCAAAGCAAACGTATTAACTCCCAGATTATGTTTCCTGAAGGAACTGTCTCCCTTGCGCCCAGGCAACCCTGTGAGCCATGTGTACCTTTGTGTGTGTGTGTACGGGTGTGTGTGTAGGTGGTGCTATTTCCCACACTGATTTACATCCCTATTATCTAAGGCCTGGGGAGGTCTGGATCCACCTCTTCCAAAGGCATGACAAGTCTCCCCTCACTGTAAGTCAAGTCCTCATGATTTAGACCTTTGGGTCAGAATATGCTACATACCTAGAATGCTAGGGAGAAAGGGTCTTTTGTCCCTGGCTCCATAGCAGAAGTTAAGTAAGGGTCTTAGTTCCTATCTGAAAATTTACTCCCTTTAAACTCTCTTTTGAGTTTCATTAAATTCAAGTCCCTTAATAATAATAACAATTTTATGAAATAAAGTTCCTTTAATTCTTTAAAGAGTGGGATGGGGGAGGGAATGACAGGAGCAGAAAGATTTGGGCCACCCAATTTCCAAGTCAAAGATAAAAATCTAGCTTTGAGTTGTTTGTTTTGTTTTTGTAATAAATAGCAACAAACATCCTTGCTAGGAAAAATATGGTTAAACCACATCACCTAAACAAATAAGCAGATTTTCCTACCTTCATAGAAGATCCCTTATGATATACTACAAATGTCACTGATTCAAAAAATCTGGAGGAAAGGCCAGTCTACATTAGTAAAGAGCTCTAGTTTAGTTCCTTATACAGTACAGGCCAGAGCTTTACTAAATAAATAAAATTAAGTAATAGTGTTGCAAATAAATTATGTGCTATATGCACACAGGTTAATGTGGAAGTCTTACAAATTCATCGTTTTACCATTATCAGTTTTAATAAATACAAATTTTCTATATCTCACACTCTATGCCTAGACTTTAAAAATATTTGAAAAGAATTATTTCTTTAAACAGATATCTTAGACTCTAGTTTACAGAATTAATTACAATCTCTTTCCCTCTTTTTATGTATAGAATGAAAGGCCGAAATTCCACAGTTAGGGACATCCAAGTTAACGAGATTTTACTGTATGAAAATTTCACATGATCACAAAAAGTAGTAAGGAATGTTCACAAATCATATTTGTGCCAAATGTCACAAAAATGCTATTTTTATCTTAAAAGAAATTTAAAATGGTATTGCTGCACCGCTTGGAATTTTACGAAAATCCAAGGTAGAAAATCTTGTTATTTGAATGTTCCAGTGCACAAAGGAAAAGCAGAAAGTACAAATGAAAGTCTATGGATGTGTACAGATCATTTCTGCTACAAGAGCTAGTTCTTCAGTGGAACACTTCAGGAGTGGCCAACCATTTGTAATTCTATCCTCACAGACTTTATCCAGGCAGAATTTTAAGAGTCATGGTTTTCCACAACTCTCTGGCCATAGAGCAATACTTACTTGTCAAACACTTTACAATTTGTTATAATTTAGTAAGCCCTCTAAAACAAACCAATAAAGCCACACAAAATGAAAAAACAAAAAGCTCAGAATCCAAGACTCAACTCACCAATAAACACGTTTAAGTGAACACAGGCCCACACAGTTTGTCATATTCTGTCTGACAGATTGCCTCAGTACTGAACTTCAACAGAAGAAGTATTAAGTTCATGGTTTATCACATTAAAGCTTTGTGATATAACTATTTTCAGAAACAGACACATCACTAGTCAAATCCAATTTAAGTTAAAAATTCTGGGGTCTTAAAGATGCAGTTAATACTAAGAGGAAAACTACAATACTTAAATTTTTAAATGTCTACAAAGGTGAACTCTAAGAAATACCATGTGCTGTCACAATTAGATAACATCATACACAAAGCTTGCTGGTCAATAATGTATTGAATTTCAGAGAATATAATACACGGAAGACTAAAAATTGGTGAAATGATGAGTAGGGCTTGAAAACAATCAAAAAGCCTATTAATGACTAATTTTCTTCCCCTAGGTTAATTTGCATAAAAGTAATTTTAACAGCAGTAACACTACAAAAAGCTGGATGTGTCATGATGCCTACAACAGCCATCAGCTAGTCTAAATGACATAGACATTTACTGTTTGGATGCCAATGCCATTTTGTAAGAAGTCATCCAAACAAGATTTAAGTGAACTAGGTGTGCAAGATTAACAGAGAATTACATATCAGTTTAATAACTGAACCACAGAGCTTTATAATAAGATTATTAAATGTATTCCAAAAGTACTTACTTTATTTCTGTGGGAGAGTATCATCTGCCTATTCTAATAAAAACAGTAAATTTTTTCTGTGACGTTATAGTTTAAAATAGCTTTTTGGTACAAAATACATAACAGAGGATGTCAACATTTGGGCATAAAATACTAAAAGAGAAACCAGCCTTTGTGTTCATACTAATTAAATAGACCTACTCTCTTCTGTGCAGTACCAGTTTAAGACTAAAATTGAAACAAAGTTACCTGGATGACCCAGTTCCATCTGTAAGAAAACTTTAAAAATCAACTTGGCCACCTGTAATACCATGAAAACGATATACTGCAATGTGATGAAACAAAAAATGACCCATAGAGTCTGTTTCTTTCCCCACTCCTGCCCCCTGCCCCACTCCTACCCCAATATTCTTGAGAGAGAAGCTTTTTCTACCAAATTATAACAATTGGCTTCCAGTTGTTTGGACAAAGCCTCAACTCCACTAGACAACTCAAACTCATAAAACTGAGTCTAACTATATAACGAATATCCCTGCCTCACCAATAAAACACACACATACAAAAACACGTAAGAAGTAAGAACATCACCTTACATTTAGGTTTTTATTCTAACTCTTGAAAAAATAATTTTCTAAAAAAATTAAAGAATAGTCTAGCAAACAATTTCATATATGTTCCAAAGGAAATATATAATTGCCACAGAAAAATACATGATTCTATTTAGATCATGCCTTTGAAAACCTCTCATAATTTGGTGAATTCATTTAGATTCTTTTTTTTATTTCTTTTTACAGTAACAAAAAAAATTATGCCTTGCTAACACATCAAAATTTTGCCTTGCTAACACATCAGTACCCACTACACGTGTAGAATGTAAAACTTATTCTAGGAGATTCATTAAATTAAAATGGACAATTTGTCTTTGAACTCACAAGTTTTAAACAAACCGGTTTTTACAAGATTTTTCTGCCTTAAGGAAAATGGTCAACTTATATTTAAGGAACAAAGACATGAATTTCATCCCAAAACTCAACTTAGTGGCACAATGAATAAAATTCAATTAAATAATAACCACCTATGAGAAAATAGCTCATATTCAACATAATACTGATTAATTATTTACCATTGGTGAACAGGTCCATTAGATGAGTAAGAATGTCATTATTAAGCAATGATGCAAAACTATTAGGTGAAGATGTTTTAGAAAAAGGAATCAGAAGGCCAAAAGATCTCTATGTCTAAAACAAACATGCAAAAACATACTACAGGCAAGTTTACATCTTGAGTAAGCTGTACATAATTGAATAGAATAAAGGTATAAGCTTTTTGGATCTGGTAAATACACAGAATTCAACAAAATTTACATTATCAAATAGTTCAATTTCCTAGAGCATCATAACAAACAGTACTAAAAACAAAACTTTCCTTAATTCAACATAACTTAGTAGTAACAGTATATTGCTTAAAAGAAAGGAAGGGAAGAGCAGAAATCAGATTACCAAGGTAAATTTCACCTTATATAAATTTTACTTGCTATTTTTGATAGTATTGATTAGATGCCATAAGTTTTATTATTATCAAGTTATTTCCAGTTGAATAAAAGCTATCTTCTACTAAAATAATTACATAAGATCTGAACAAATACAACTGAGCAATGAAAACAATATTAATATTTTTCAAACATGCTAGCCCAAAATCACTGTACTAATATACTAATAACACAGAACCTTGTACTCTATTACCGTATCTAACAAAAAGAATGCTATATATCAGGTATTTTGGAAAGCACATTAAAAAAAAGCAAAACTGATAAACCGCTTTAATGTGGCTTAGCAGAGATTCAATATTCCTGTACTACTCATTTAACCACAAAAGAAACCGAGGAACCTAAAAGCAGTCCATTACTTTGGCACACCATATCTAGTATGCTCTTAGATGAAAAGACAGACCATAGTCCTAATTTCTTGTGTTTCTCTAATACTCTACTACTAAAGCATCTGGATATACAGTTCTAGAAAAAATTTTAGGAATTCAAACGAAGAATTAATGGGAGAAAATTCTTCTAGGTCTCCTTCTTTGATGAAAACTTTCCAAGATTTCATATGTTGTTCTAAAAAGCGGTCCAAAAATTTCCAAAGTCTTGTGCCTCATCCTAAATGCAAAATCTTCCAGTAGCAGAATCAAGACAAAACTTAAGTTCAAAGTCGTGCATCATAGATTGAAAAAAAGATCTCTTCTATTAATGCTTGATTATTCATATAAATTGTTATAGAATATTCATTGAAAGAAAAATTCAGATGGAAGAAAGTTACCTTTCGGTTCAATAACCTAATCTCTGCAGTTTCTGCTGCTATCAAGGAGCTATTTCAATACTTTAAAAAATATAAAAATTTAAGCAGTAAAGTTTTCTTTTCAGATCTCAAGTTTCTACATCAGCTTCATCTGTTCATCAGAAATACTTCCAATCATTTACTAAGGAATCCGGCTTGGATTTGATAACTGTGTATCACAGTGTTGAGATAGGAGTCTTGGAGAAAAGTTTCAGTCTTCTGGAATGCCAAAGTAAAAGGTGCTCATAGCCATTTTGATGAATCCAAAGAGAAGTATGAAAAAGTTACTACTCTAGAAACTATCTTAACCAAATGGAATTGTTGCTTCAGTTTCTAGCACTACGGAGTTACTAGACCCTGCCTCAAGTTTTGTCTTCACCTATTAACATTACCTTATTAGGGTTGAGTTTGAGCCAGTTAGACGTCATTCCAGAGATTTCAGACAGAAAATGGGACATCTGGGGTATTGCTCCTCCTAGATTAGATGAGAAGGAAAGGTATGGCTGGGTGTTGTTTGCTAACTATCCATCTCGACCTTAGCAGAAGATATAAAGCATGGGACTCACTATCGAGATTTTTATTTTGTTGGCTGTTTTTTCTTTTTTTTGTCCCAACTACTGGCTTTCAAATATTCACTTTAGCCTTCTTAAGCAAGGTTACTCATGGAAAGAACTTCAATTTTTCCTCTAGGCATCTTCAGTATGAAATTCTTTAATTTTCAGTTCCAAGAGGCTGCAGTGGCAAGGCAGACGATTTGCATGTGACAGCATGCAGCTCAGAGCGTGAGTTAAGCAAAAGAAAAAGTCTGATATTGTGTTTGGAGTTGATGTTGCAGACTTGGAGAAGACGAATGCATTGATTGAGTGTTGGAAGTATACAGACCTCTTGTCATGGCTATCTGTACTTGAATTCATTTTGATGTCTGTTAGTAAGCCAAAAGCCAAGCCCAAGTCAACACACATATTTTCACTCTTCAAGGTTAAAAAAGAAAAAGATACTCAAATTTTCAGCCTAAACTTCCAATATCTGAAAATTCACTGCCTCATATTATTCTCAGTTAAAGCAATTTTTTCACTACTCAACGCTTCTATAAAGAAGAAATCAAATATACATAAATGATAATTCCTAGAAATTAAAAGGATGAATACTGACTGCTAAATAAACTATGTGAACAAAATTTCCAATATGCATTTTTTTCGATACCAGGCATATAAAATATCACGGCCTATGTCATAATTTTAGCAATCTTCATAATTCAGAGCTGCTTAAAAAACAGCTCCTCACCTAATATTAACAGCAAGAAATAGTTGGCAATTAATAGTCAGATCTTCCATCTCATCTTTTCCATTTTTTTCATGAAACTTTCTCAAGAATTCCTAAAACAGAATTGCAAGGTGAGTTCTAAAACCGAATAAATTCTGATAAATTCTGTTTCTCTAAAATAATGTTGTTTTACATCAAAGGCATGCATCAACAATGTTAATCTTGTGGACCTCAATAAATTGTTTCAAAGGCACACCAGTTCTATCAACATAGTCAGCTAAAGAATGCAATGACTTCCCAATTCCAAAGTTTCCTCCTTTCTGGTACTTTCTACCATTCAAGTGGTAGGCACAAACCTATTTTATCAATGAATTTTACCCTTATAAGTAATTGTTTCATAATTCTCATAATCTGCTACATTTAAACAAATTGAAAAAATGATTCCATGAAAACATGACTAGTCAAATCTCCCAAGTTAATAGAAATCACTCCATAAACAATGGTTACCTAGCTGTTGCTAGATGTTGCTTAACACAACATAACCTGAATTTTAAAACTGAAACACATCATACCAATCACACAGGAGGCTATACTATCAGAGCAATAGCTGACATATGCATGCTGCAACATCTGATAAATTAATCTATTTCTACCTAAAAGCATTATGCTTTTATCGTCAAATAGCAAACACTATTAACAGACAAAAGTTTTCAATTAACATATTCATACCTTCACTGATCTGGTTCTCTGATGAAACAGCACTTCCTGAAGGCAAGTGACCCACCGAACTTGAGTCTTCCACTGCCTGCCTCTTCTCAAAACTAAACTCTGGAAGTCTTGGAGCCTGGGGTCTGGTTTTTCTTGCAGGATTCAAGAAAAAACAGTAGGCACATCGAAAAGCTGCAGAGAATTAAAAAAATAAATAAACAAAACCACAAACCAAAGAAAATTCAAGGATTAATCAGATAACTTTCAAGATTACTTTTGCAAATAGTCAAAGAACCCTTCAAAAGTTATTTATCCTTTGTGAACTGACATGTGGTTTTAATAATATCATGGCAAGTGTTCTAACCAAAGCTAATTTTAAAGCATACTTTCTAATTATTATTAGAATTAGAATACTAATTTTAAAGCAGAAAAGATAAGTTACATAGCAGGTTAACTAATAGCAAAACAATATTAATAATGATCGAAATGTATTATACAAATTATATTTCTAGTCACCAGAATCATTAGGTATTTTAAAATCTAGAACTTTGCTCATTTGCCCAAGAAAATGTAGTGTGTCATATTTGAGAAGCATAATTAGTTAAGTATATTTTTTAATAGTGGCTGCATATGAGAATCATTTGAGGAGCTTTAAAAAAAAATGCTGATGCTTAGACCCCATTCCAGATCAATTAAAGCAGACTCTTTGTAGATGGGTCCTGGATATCATAATTTTTAAAAGCTCTTTGGGTGATTCTGATGCACAATGAAGTCTGAGAATAACTAGCCTAGAGGTTGTACATTGTATGAGGGAAAAACCTGAGTTGTCTTTCCTGCTTTGCTCTGTGTTCTAAAATAAGGACAATATGCCAGAACAATATATACAGAGACAGTCCCTAAAATAAAACGATATTACATAGGAATTGGCATAGAATAAAATATTTAAGAGTAAAATATTTAAATCTAACGGCCCAATAATTCTTACCAATGTATTCAAATTCTTCTTTCAAGGCCATGCCATTATGAGAAAAACACTGCTGACATATAAGGGCATACCTACACCAAAAGAAAATATGAACAGACCAGTTAGAAATGCAAACAAAGCCCATGGGAAAGGCTACTTTAGCCATCACAGCTATTTATATTTTAACATAGCTAAGTATGTCATAACAGATTAGACATTACTTAGTAAACAATAAACAATACTCTTTAAACATAACAGCCATAAATTCAATCATTTCAAAATATAATTTATATATCAAATTAAAAATAAACTAAGCAAATGAATATATCCTTACTAAGTTAGCAGAAACATATTTGATAACAGAACACTTAAATTTCAGTATTCCCTACCACACATTCCTGGGGATGACAGACTCCAAATCTGTGGTCAGATAGGATTGGAAAAGATGGAACCTCTTATAGATTCATAATGGATGTTATTAAAACCTCTGAGAAGTCTTGCAGTAAAGAAATGAATTTAATTTTGTTTAGTCCAGTCCAAAAGTTACTTTCTGTACATCATGATTCCTGTATCTATCCCAGTTATGCTTAAACATCTTCCTCATTTTCTATTTATATACTCTCTCTGTTCTCTGTGTATGTACTTAACAAATACTTGGCCCTATCAAACAACATTCTACCCGTTTGAATAACATACTATTATTATATTAACATTAAATTCTAGTCCCTTTATTAAAATGATAATATTAACCAATAACCTTATCAAATATCTACTCTACTACCCTAGGAATTTTTCAAAAGTCTATACTATGACAATTGCTCTGCTCACATCATACCTATCTTCCTAGAGTTATTTTAAGGATCAAATAAGATAATAATGGAAAAGCATTTTGAAAACTGTATAAGTGCCAAATACATGTAAATTGTCCTCATTGTTAAAATTATCACCATCACCAAGTCTAGTACTGACATTTTCTTACAACCTACTAAGTTTTCACTACTTGTGTTTTCTTCAAGTTTAAAAGTTTCAATGAAATGATTCAATTTCTCTAAAAATAATTTTATAGTAGGTTATAATATAGTAAGGTCATAATATTTTTTCTGCTTTTACATATATATATATGTATGCATTTTCTACATTTTATCTAGATACTTTATCCAAACTCCTACTGAAAAACAATTCACTATATACTCTTTTGCAGGGCTATAAAACACTCCATCATGTTCTAAAATCAAGAAACAGGAGCCACAAAACTGTAAAACATCTAGTGCATCTGCACACACACACCCGCCTGACCAACAAACTTTTTCTTCATTTTTATTTATCTACCACCCTAGTAAACATTACCTGTTCTGTGGACCATCACCAACTAAATATTCAACAATTCTATCCAGAGCACCTCGTTCTCGGGGGAGAATGGGTCTTGCTAAAGGTGGACCTGGAGGATGAAGACCTAGTAAATAAATAAATACATATAAAATTTACATGTATAAAACACATGTAAATTTTAATTCAGTTACCAAGAACTACCTATGCTTCTCAGAACTTTTAAAAGATTTTAAAAAAACAAAACTAATATTCTTATAAATCTCTGTAGAGCATCCAAATTTTCATGAAAAATACTATACTACAAAAAAATATGTTTAAATATGTGCTATATCAGAACCACCAACATAATCTATTAAGAAATGAAACTATGTTGGGTTCTGTACAAACTAATTTTAAAAATGCCCAAACTCTAAAAAGCTTATGTAGGGCCGGCCCCATGGCTTAGTGGTTAAGTGCGTGCGCTCCGCTGCTGGCGGCCCAGGTTCGGATCCCGGGCACGCACTGACGCACCGCTTCTCCAGCCATGCTGAGGCTGTGTCCCACATACATCAACTAGAAGGATGTGCAGCTATGACATACAACTATCTACTGGGGCTTTGGGGGGAAAATAAATAAATAAATAAAATCTTTAAAAAAATAAAAAATAAAAAGCTTACGTAATAATAAATTAGGAGATTTCCACTTTGGGCCATAATAGAGTAATAAGGGTCAGATTTACCTTCCGACCTAAAACAACTAAAATACTGCGCAAAATATATGATGCAACAGTTTTAAAGACACTGGATATCAGGCAATGTAGGATAAAGATCACTGAGAGACAAAAGGCAAATAAGATGAGCCCTATAATTGCCCCAGCTTGTTGCCTAGAGAGAGTTTCCAGCCAGCAGCTCAGGGAGAGTAAACCCAGGTGAAGTGCATCAGTCTCCCTGAGTTGAGGAGATAAAGCTGGAACTCTGGGGAGGCCAAGGCAGCCTGAGTTCACAGGAAAGAGTATCAGAGAGGAGAGAATGCACAGAGCAAGAACACCAAAGATCTGCAGAGGATCCCCACGACTATTCAGCACAGTACTGACTGGTGCATGCATGTGAGGAAACTACCTGAAGACAGAAAAAAAACTGCCCCAAAATATTAAAGGTAACAGTACTCACATGGGGCCAAAAATATTGCATGTTCCCACCAGAGTTCCCATGTTCCCCTGTTCCCAATGGAAAACTTCACACAGGTCATTGAGTAAGTATCTGGAGGAGTTTTGTATAGGGATACAAAAATATCCAGCATCTAGTAAGGTAAAATTCACAATGTCTTGCTTCGAATCAAAAATTATTAGACATGCAAATAAGCAGGAAAATACAACCCATAGTGAGAAAAATCAATCAAAAGTGACCAGGAAATGACAGAGATGATAGAATTAGTAGACAAATATATTAACACTTATTATGACTATATTCCATATGCTTGAGAATCTAGAGGAAAGATTCAATATGTTAAGTAGAGACACGGAAAAATTTAAAACACCCAAATTGAACTTCTACAGATGAAAACTACAATGTCTAAGATGAAAAAATCCACAGATGGGATGAACAGCAGTTTGGGACATTACAGAAAAAAATATTAGCAAACTTGAAGATATAGAAATAGAAACCATACAAAATGCAACACAGAGAAAAAACTAAAAAATTTTTTAAATGACCAAATCAACAGCAAGCTGTAGAGAACTACCTCAAGCAGCCAAATATACATGTAACTGGAGTCCAGAACAAGAGGAGAGAGAAGGAAAAGAAAAAATATTTGAAGAAATAATGCACAAAATTTTTCCAAATTTGATGAAAGCTATAAACCCACAGATCCAATTATATCAACAAACCCTAAGCACAAGAAACATATTGTTGCACCAAAGCACACCATAATCAAATTGCTTAAAACCAGTGATAAAGAGAAAATCTTAAAAGCAGTCATAAAAAGATACATTATGTACAGAGAAAGAGATAAGGACAGCAGATTTCTCATCAGAAAATAAGAAAGCCAGAAGACAATGAAACAATATCTTTAAAGTTCCGAAAGAAAAACTACCAAATTAGAATTCTGTATTAGTGAAAACATCTTTTAAAAATGAAGACTTTTTCAGACATACAAAACTGAAAGACTTCATCTCTAGCAGAACTGCACTACTAGTTAAAAAGAAATGTGAAAAGAAGTCCTTCAGGCAGAAGGAAAATGACACCAGACAGAAAGCAGAATCTACACAAAGGAAAGAGGAGTACCTGAAATGGTTATCATGTGGGTAAATATACAAAACTTTCATTATTTAAACCTCTTTAAAACATAATTGATGGCTTAAAGGAAAAATTAACAATTTGTTGTGAGGTTTATAATATATGTAGAAGTAAAATGTATGACAACAATAGTACAAAGGTCAGGCGAGGAGAAAGGTAATTATACTATTGTTAGATTCTTAAACTGTATGTGAACTGGTATCATACCACTTGAAAGTGAACTGTGATGAACTGAAGATATATACTGTCAACCCCAAAGCACCCACTAAAATAACACAAAAAAGCAATATAGCTAAAAAGGCAACAACAACAACAAAAGATTAAACGGAATCATAAAAGATGCTCAATCCAGAAGAAGGCAGAAAACAAGGAGAAAGGTAACAGAATAGATGAAACTAACAGAAAAAAAATAGCATAACAGAAAAATTTAAACTCAAACCCAAACACACCAATCATTACATTAAATGTATGTGGCCTGAATATCATCATTAGGAGGCAAACATTGTCAGAATGGATAAAAAAGCAAGACCCAATATATGCTTCTTACAAAATACCCATTTTAAATACAAAAACAAGTAGGTTAAAAGTAAATGATAGAAAAAATATATAAATATACTAACACTAATCAAAAGAAATCTGGAGTAGCTATATTAATATCAGAGTAGATTTTAGAGCAAAGAATGTTATCACAGATAAAAAGGGTAATTTCATAATTTCATAATGACAAAGGAGTCAATTCAATAACATAACAATTCAGGACATAACAATCCTAAACATATATGTGCATCATAACAGAGCTTCAAAACACATGAAGCAAAAACTAATAGAACAACAAAAAGAAATACACAAATACACAATTATAGTTGGAGATTTCAACAGCCTTCCCCCAGTAACTGACAGAATAAACAAACAGAAAATCAGTAATGACAGAGAAGACTTGAACAACACTATCTACTATCAACTTGACCTAACTGACATTGAGAGCCCCTCTACCCAAAATGAACAGAATTTATATTCTTTTCAAGTGAATACAAAACATTTACCAAGACAGATGATATTCTGAAACATAAAACAAGTCTCAATATATTTAAGAAGATTCAAATAATACAAAGTATGTTTTCTGACCACAATAGAATTTAAATCAGACATCAGCAACAGAAAGAGATCAGGAAAATGTCCAAATACTTGGAGACTAAATAACATACACATAAATAATCAGGGTTCAAAGAAAAAATCAAAAGAGAAATTAGAGAGTATTTTTAACTGAATGAAAATGAAAAAACAACATCAAATTTATGATATGCAGCTAAAGCAGTACTTAGAGGAAAATTTATAACTCTAAACACCTTTAATACTAAACACCTGCAAAAGAAGATAGGTCTAAAATCCATGAATTCAGCTTCCACCTTAAGAAACTAACAGAGAAGAGCAAATGAACTCAAGGTAGACAGAATAAAATAAATAATAAGGATCAGAGAGGAAATTAATAAAATAGAAAATACAAAAATAATAGAGAAAAGCTGGTTCTTTGAGAAGATCAATAAAATTGATAAACTTCTAGCCAAACTAATCAGGAAAAAAAAGAGGGAAAATACAAATATCAGGAATGAGAGAAATGGCATAAACCCAAATTGTAAAAACATTAAAAGGATAGTGCAACTATGACATAAAACTATCTGCCAGGGCTTTGGGGAGAAAAAGGGAAAAAAAGGAGGAGGATTGGCAATAGATGTTAGCTCAGGGCCAGTCTTCCTGAGCAAAAAGAGGAGGATTGGCATGGATGTTAGCTCAGGGCTGATCTTCCTCACCAAAAAAAAGAAAAAGTAAAAAGGATAATAAGGGTATATTATGAATATCTTTAATACATTCTATAAGTTAGATGAAATAGACAAATGTTTTGAAAGACTACCAGACTACCACAGCTCACTCAACAAGAAATAGACAACTACTCAATTTGCTAAAATTTTAAGAATTTTTCCAACTATGTTCATGAAGGATATTAATCTGTAGTCTTTCTTCTAAAAAAACTGAGTTTTTAGTTTAAAAAAAAAAAAACTTTTCCACAAAGAAAACACCAGACCCAGAGACTCCAAACTGTAAATTCTGCCAAACATTTAAGGAAGAAATAATATCAATTCTACACAAACTTGTCTATAGAACTGAAGATGAGGGAAAACTTTCTCATACTGTGAGGCTGGCATGACTCTGATACCAAAACCAGACAAAGACATTACAAGGAAAAAGAAAAAAAAACTACAGACCAATATGCCTAAGGAAAAATGATGTAAATATTTTTACCAAAATTTTAGCAAACTGAACCCAACAATATATATACAAAACAAAACATCATGACCAAGTGAGATTTATCCCAGGAAAGTGAGGTGGTCTAACATTTAAAAATCAATGTATTTCACTATACGAACAGGTGTTAAAAAACATAAACTAAAACCCCATATGAGCATCTCAATAAATGCAGAAAAAGCATTTGCCAAAATCCATCACCATATACGATAAAAACCTTCAGCTAATTAGGAATAGAGGGGTACTTCCTCAGCCTAATAAAGGTTCTCTATTTAAAAAAAACAAAAAACAAAAAAACAACCCTACAGCTACCATCACACATTGAAAGGTGAAAAAGTAATTGCTTTCCTCCTAAGATCAGCAATAGGGCAAGGACATCTGCTCTCACCACTTTCATTCAACATTGTAATAAAGGTTCTAGCCAGTGTAATAAAGCAAGAAAAAGAAATAAAAGGAATCCAGATTAAAAAGGAAGAAGTAGAACTGTCTTTATTCACAGACAATGTGATATTCTATGTAGAAAATACTATGGAATCTATAAAAAAGCTATTAGAACTAATAAGTGAGTTTAGCAAGATAAAAGATCAATATACAAAAATCATTTGTATTTCTATATATATTAGCAATGAATAATTGCAAATAGTTAACAAAACAATACCATTTACAATACGATCAAAAATATGAAATCATTAGATGTACATTTTACAAAAAAATGTGCAAAACCAAACACTGAACACTATAAAACACTGCTGACAGACACTAAAGATTTAAATAAATGGAGAAACATGCTGTGTTCATGTAATAAATTAGTCAATATTAGAAGAGACAAATGGAGAGTGGGAAGTGGAAGAATAACCCAGAATTTAGTTAATGATTTACATCATATAAAAACAGTAGTAACAAAAATAGAGAGTTACACAAACTTTATGAATTGTAACTCAACAGTCTCTGAAAACTGAAAGAGAACTGTTTGCAGAAGATATTCTGAACTGAGAGACAACACGGAAGAGGGAACTGAGAAGAAAGTGAGAGAATAAAATAAGATGTGATATGATGTTTCCCTTTGCAAAACAAGGCAGGATGAACCTAAGAGTAAGATGGGCAGCAATGGAGGTTTACATGGAGACCTCACAGAAGACTTTGAAACAAAATGAGGCCTTGCTGGAACAAGCCTTGCAATATTAGGATACAAAGTTTTCTTTTTTTTTTTAAAGATTTTATTTATTTTATTTTTTGCCCCCAAAGCCCCAGTAGATAGTTGCATGCCATAGCTGCACACCCCTCTAGTTGCTGTATGTGGGACTCGGCCCCAGGATGGACAGAGAAGTGGTGCCTTGATGCGCACCCGGGATCCGAACCCAGGCCGCCAGCATCACAGCGCGCGCACTTAACCACCAAGCCACAGGGCCGGCCCAGGATACAAAGTTTTCAAGATGACTGTGAAACAAGTCACAGTCATTTAAACAAAAACTTTAAAGCATTCAAGAATGGCTTTAGGGTGGCAATACCATATTAATATTTTAAAGGATAAGAAAAAGAGATTTCCTTTGTAAATATTCACAAATCTAAAAGCTGTTACCATCTAAAAAAGGGCAAATGTCAAAATTATAGCTATTAGTAAATAAATCTAGGTTCTAGACTAAGTTCTTAGTATTACAAATCAAGTACATTTTTCAGATTTCATCAGATAAGTTACTGGTTTACTTGTACTAACAACTTTCAATCTTTATCATCAAAAAATAAACTTGAGGGGCTGGCCCGGTGGCAGAGTGGTTAAGCTCACGTGCTCCGCTTCAGCGCCCCAGGGTTCACAGGTTTGGATCGCAGGCGCGCACCCGCGCACCGCTTATCAAGCCATGCTATGGCAGGCGTCCCACATATAAAATAGAGGAAGATGGGCACAGATGTTAGTTCAGGGCCAATCTCCCTCAGCAAAAAGAGGAGGATTGGCAACAGATGTTAGCTCAGGGCTAATCTTACTCACAAAAAATAAAATTAAATTAAATAAACTTGAATGCAGACATTAAATGTCATCCCTCATTATTAAATTTTCAACTTGAATTAGCATGCCTAATTAGATTTTGAAAGCATTTAAGCCAACTTAACTTTTGCTGGATTATTTTATTTCTACATGTTTAAAATGAAAATATCCATAAAGGAATCTAGATACATAAAACAACATATTTCATAAAAATATCTTAAACCCCTTGTATTCTAAGAACTTTTAAAATACTGCATCTTTGTATTCATGCTGTTATGGATAACAGTAATTAATACAAACATCAAGAGCAATCATTGTAGGAATACTGGTCATTTTTACACAGCTTGGCAAATTATCAAGTACCTGCTGGTTATTAATTTTCAAACATATGGGAGCCCTGTGGTAATACACATTAAATTGATTCTCTTCTACAAATATGGCATAATGAAGAAATGAATTATTAATCTTCTCTATAAGAAATCACTTAACTGATTCATATTTTTGGCAATGTACAACTTAAACACAAACAGTCTTTTACACAGAAACTAATTAAAAACTTCAGTAAAATATGTTATATTTACATGATCACAAAATTAAGGCCATGTTCCTTCTGTAACCCTATTCTTACATGTGCAATACAGTTTTTATTACTTTTACATAAATTGTTAAAACTTTTATTTCTTTAAAACTAGTTAGATATACAAATATATATAATTCACGCATTCTCACAAAAAAAGGTCTTTTATTAAACTAAGAATGTTACTTTACAAATCATGGGTATCTCAAATCAACCAGATAACAACTGAAAGATGAATAATTTTCAATTTAATTTTTCTCAATTTCACAAAATATACAGCTGCCTTAAGTGACATCATTATATGTCAAGTTTAAAAGTATTTTTTCAATAACTACTTTAAAGTTATGATTTGTATACATTTCATTTGTAGACAGCTTCCTTAATTTTTTTATAAATTAATAGTTTTCTAAAATCTTATGCATCTTTTTTTCAAGGAAAAGCAGGAAAAAAAATCTACTGTAATAGTAACATTTGGATTACTTATTGATTTTATTACACAAGTGCCCTGAATACCTGATATCAACTACTGACCAGCCTCAAAATCATTATAAATTATGTTAGTAATTAGTCATGAAATACCAAAGTAATCTAAATTAGAATATCCTAAAATAAGATAAATAGTTTACTATCATATTCAAGAATCTGACATGGAAATCTACATAAAATAATGTGATCTGCTGAAGCAACAGACTTCCATATCCCAGTCACACTCCAAAGTTGCAGGGGAATATAATCTATTACGCTCCAAAAGTGGCCTCTTCCCCTAGAGATCTATACGCTGAAAAAAGAGAATCCAAAGAAATGAAATAGTAATAAAGGCAATATGTTAATTTAATAGGATTTTATGCTAAAGTATCTGTCAGAAAATACTAAAGTTCTATGTCTTAGAAAAAGAAAAATCTACCAGCCCATATTAACAATAGTAGTATTAAATACTACAATGCAGGAATATTCTTCCTGAAATATGTCAAGTAATCGTCATGTTTAAAAATATACGTGAAGGGTTTAGCAAAAAGCATGAATATATTCCCAAAGTCTTCTCTTCTATCCCTATTTTATCTAAATCTGGAGCCATTCTAAAGCTGAATATAAAAAGATATGCTATACTGTTACTACAGAATCCACAAAGTTTTATTGCCATTTAAACAAAGAAGCCATAACAGTTAAATGAGCTCAAGAAATAGGTTTCAGTATCACAACGTGCCAGCTGTAAAGAGTTATGGCTAATTGAATATGGAACGCCTGCTTAATCAGATAACTGCTCTGCTATTTCCAAATGAAATGCCATTTCCATACTGTCTGAAAATGGCCCGTTTTATTGGTAACCAGAGAAAACAATATAAACTGTAAATAACATTAAGTGCTCTGTTTACCCATTCCAGGCACTGAAGTAGCAGGGGATCCAAGACGTCTTGGTAACACATTTGATGATAGGACTGGAGTAACAGTTCTTTCTGGGGGTCCACCAGGGGCTGAAGTGTCCTTTGGTGGTCCAGGAGATACTGGAACTTGTGGCGGAGGGCCCTGGCTAGAGCTTGTTGGTGTTGGAGAAAGGTTTCTTTGAGCTGCAGTGCGCTGACGAATCTCTGAGAATAAGAATAAAAAGTATATACTAGACTAAATATCCAAATACCACATTGCCAATACAACAAATCACTTACATTTAATAAAGTTTTGTGGCACCAAAAGGCATCTGTAAGGTCAAAACTGCTAATAATAAGAAATCTATAAAATGTAACATTGAAAACTGACTATAACAGAGTACTCCATTTCTGAACCTACAATTCAACTGCATATATTTACACAACAAGCCTTAGTCTAACTCTACCTACTGATATTACTTTTCAAAATAAGTTCAAATAAAATAAAATCACCCAATTATGTGTCGTCTTTTTACAATAATCTTTCCTAATTTATGATAAAGGAAAGAAAGTTTATCAGAATTAGTGAAAACTGGAGATTTATTTTTCAAGACAAAAAATGGTAACTCCAGGAAATGAGTGAATAAGTATATTCCGGAATTATCAAAAAATTTATGAAGTAATTAATCTAAGTATTAGTCACAGAAATGCTGAAAAAGTGTTCTTTATATTAGGAACCATTCTCATTCTCCTTTATACTATTACTATCTTTTTGGTAAACGTTTTTTGCCAGTACATTCAATTAAAAAAACCTTCAACTCTGCATAAACAATGTATCATTATAAATAAATCTTATCATTTAGTTGCAGAAATTACAAGATTTTGTAATTTATGGCAAATATGCCAAATCCAGGCTGCTGCCTCTTTTTGTAGTTTTATTGAAATACAATAACACTCTTCTGTTTACATATTGTCCATGGCTGCTTTAGAAGAGTTGCATTGTTGCAACAGAGACAATATGGCTCTCAAAGCCATTTACTATATTTACTATCTGGTCCTTTACAGAAAGTTTCATGATCCCCTACTCGATAACATAAAATTCAATTCTATCATTCCCCATTCCCATCAATATCTTACTTGAATGTTCATGGTAAGATCTCAAGTAAAAAGGTACTCATAGCTTTTTAATTCCACATACCACATTAAATTATCACAAATCCTGAAATAGGCTGAAACTAAAGAAGTTAAATTTTAATTGGCATAATTGGTAAAAGTATATACTTCTCAAAGCAAAATACTTAGATTTGGACTCTATTTGACATGGAAAGTTCACTGCAATCAAAAGTACAGCTCTAACATCAGATTTCAGTTTACTACAACCTAGTCTACTACTAGTTAAGAACCTGGGCTCTGTGGTCAGAAAGGTTTGGTTACAATCTGGCTGTAGCTACATGACCTCAGATGGGTTAATTTCACTGTAAAATTAAGATAATAATATTCTCAACTCATAGAATTGTTATGAGGATTAAATAAGATAATGTTTGTAAACTAATAGCTCACATTTCTTGAATAAATATTATTTCAGATGACTATTTTCACACAACTAAGTATTTTCAAAGGAGCATTTAATGGTAATTACTGGGACCAACTAATATCCATTGGTTCTTTTTTTTTTTTTTTGTGAGGGAGATGAGCCCTGAGCTAACATCCATGCTAATCCTCCTCTTTTTGCTGAGGAAGACTGGCTCTGAGCTAACATCTATTGCCAATCCTCCTCCTTTTTTTCCCCCAAAGCCCCAGTAGATAGTTGTATGTCATAGTTGCACATCCTTCCAGTTGCTGTATGTAGGACACGGCCTCAGCATGGCTGGAGAAGCGGTGCGGCGGTGCGCGCCCGGGATCCAAACCTGGGCCACCAGTAGCAGAGCATGCGCACTTAACCGCTAAGCCACGGTGCCAGCCCTCCATTGGTTCTTAATTTAGTCTCTAACCTAGCCACTGCAATAATAAATTACAAGCATGTCATCATTATAAAAATGGAATTGTCTTTATATTTGCCTATTTTCCATGCAGTTTATATAGAAAATTTCAGATTTTACCTGGACAAATTGTAACCTAATATATCCTTCAAATTAGCTAGTCAATTATCTTTTACTCACAAGGAACATTTTAAAAGGTGGTTACATATTAGGAAAGCCATTAAATTGCTGCAAAAGGTACTGAGATCAATGAAATCATATTAAGATTTGGTCATTTAAATTATTTTGTAAAAATAAGGCATCAAATACTATAAATCACTTTTCAGCTGATTTTCAGATAAAACATAATTCAAAAAATGACATTTTTCTTCCAGATAAAGTTTAACATTTATTAGACTATATTAAAATTAGCTATTACCCTTTCACTTCTTGAACAAAGACTTCCTCTGAATGTGCACTTACCCTGTGAAAATTAAAGTACTCTTTTAACGTCACTCATGTGCTACTCAAAGGTGAGGTCTATAACTAGTTAACAAAGACCACCACGTCTAGCATTCCATAAAAGAGATTTGGCCTAGTAATTCCTAAATCTAAATTTAGGCAGAAAAAGGAGAAAAATGATGTAGAAGAGTCAGGAAAGGAAGAAAACAGTTTCATCGATTTCAAAGGAAAAGCAGGTAACAAAGAGTTACAGTATCAATTACTGAAAATAGCTGGCAATACCAAATCTATATTTGGTAAAGTGTTATGAAATATTCTGGTAGTCTCAATTTAAAATATCCAAGATTTGTCTACTTTTAGCCACTTGCCATTCACAAATGCTTTGTATTATAATTATTCTAAAAAGTTTCTAGTACTCAACAAAGTAGTCATAATGGTTATATTCAAAATTTCCTGCATTTAAATGCAAAATGCCATCCACCAAAAAGATTTACCAAGCATTCCACATCAGTCTGGAAAAGTATTATAAGGAGTGTTCCATAAGGTCAATGCTTGATTGGAAGATGTTTTAACTTCCTCATCAGTGATCAATCAATGATTCAATAAAAATCATACTCACTGAGTATGAGGACATGTCTATATTTTTAAATTTGAAATGAAGCAGATAGAATCAAAATGAGATTAAAAACTACTATATTACAATAAACATAAGGAAGAAAACAAAGTTTAAAATAATGATTAAAACAGGATAGTTAAAAGCATAGACTCTGGGATCAAACCATCTTGATTTAAATTTTAGCGCCACCCTGTTTATTAGATGGGCATGGAGCCTTTTCTAAGTTGATGACATCTCTCAGTTCAGCTTCTTCATAATGAGAATACTTACCTCTTATGGTTGTTATGAAGAGTAAATGAGATAACCAATGCACAGAGCTCAGCCAGAGCAAGCACAGGAAAAGTACTTAATAAGCAATAACTATTTGAAGTAGTATACATTTAAAGGTTCCAGAGATTATAATAAATCAAAAACAAGCAATCTAGAATTTCAAAAGCAATTATTAAAATAAATATAGATACTTATTAACTTATTAATATTTTCCTAAAGTTATGAACTTGTCTAAATGTGTAAATTCACAATTTACGTAAAAACTTAAATCTATCTCTAGATTGCTATTAAATAATTCTTGAGATGCACATTCTATAATACAAATAATTATCTCTTAATTTATCAGATTTTTAAGTACTGGTTCTTTACATACTGGTAGGTTTTGTCTTTGTTTTGGTATTAAGCTGTAGAGGAAAAACACCATACAACAGTTAGGAGGCCTGGATTTTCATCCTAGCCAATACCACTAGTTCCATATGTGAACTAAAAAGTCTTGTATCCACTCTGGGTCTCGAATTTCTTTAAAGAGTATTGGAAGAACAACAAAGACAATCCTCTTATTTTCCTTGGTCAAAGACTTTCTGAACTATTGTGTCCGGTTCTAAGCCTCATGAGAAAAAATTTCAATAACTATGATTCTAGTAATGAGAAGAAAAAAAAATCTTTAAGCCTATGAATGATGCACATATGCAGATGTGAAGACTCTTAAATTCAGAGTGAATTTGGCTCTTTGTAAGTGTGATTATGAGATGTAGTTAGATGGAGCATGGGAATATATCTTCCGGAGAGTTTCTATTTTTGAATTTATATAAATTCAGATCTCTGTTGTCTAAATTTATATAAATATGATTCCTTTAAATAATCAAAATAATCAAGACCATGCATCTGACATCTCTTCTCTTTACTTTCAAAATTTTCTGAGGTCTACATTCACTGTATCATCTTCTTCACATCCTACTCACACTAAACTCCTTTAAATTCTGCTTCTGCACTAATTCTCTACTAAAATTGTTTTCTCAATAGGTTGATGGCTTTTTATTAAGAAAAATGACTCCATAACCTCTTCTTTCCCATAGAGGCAAAGCTTTTTGAAAAAAAAAAAAAAACCTTTCCCAACATTTCACTCCTCAACCTAACGCAATCTGGTTTTTTGTCCTCCTTTGTAGCTACCACAGTATCACCCACCACTGAAACTACCATTGCTTTGGTTACCAACAAACTTATAATATCACCATTACTGTTATTATCATAAGCTACTCTTTATCAAATCCCTGTTATCTGCTAGGAACCACACTAGGTGCTTTATGTGAGTTTACTAATTTCATCTAATGTTTAGGCAAACTCTTGGACATAACTCCTATCCTCAGTTTTCAAAAGAAGAAACCAAAGCTCAGAAGCTATGTAACTTGCCAAAAGTCTCGCAGTAAAATTAGAGATGGAGCCAGGATTCAAATCCCGGTTTTTATAACAATGCCCTCACTCTGTTGTACAACCTGCCTGATTCAATGGCCTCATTTGTCTTCTACTTACTTGACCCTCTGCAGACTATGACAGTGGATACCATCCCTACTACACCTCAACTTTCTAGATGCCAGATTAGTCCTGCTTTTAACTCTGATCATTCTTTCTGTCTTTTTGCTGGGCTTCTCTTTCTCCATCTACCCTTAAATGTTAATGTTCCCTGGGGTTCTGCCATAGGTCCTCTTATTCTATTCTCTTTCCCCGGTTTTACTCAATCCCATGGTTTCAGTAACTATCACCTAAACTTCCTAATGATTGCTAATCTGTATCTAGAACCTCAACATTTTTCCTGAGCTCCATATGAAATAATTAACTACCTATAAACTGCACCACAAGGTTGTAACTCCCACTCAACAGATCCAAAAGCAAATTCATTATCTTCTACACAAACCTACTCC